ATTCAATTCAATAGCCATAACTTTTCCTGTATCGTGACGATAAAGTACTTATTAATATTAATTTATATAATACAACAAATACCAATTACACATGTATTCAATTATGCAAAATTATGCAAAAATGATAAAATTCCTTTTACCTCAAGTGTGCATTCAAAAAATCTTTTCCTTCTACAGTAAGAAAAAGCATTAATTATAAAGTTAGCATTTTTTAACTGTGATGGGAATTTACATTAATTTAACCACTACTGTTGCAGTGCACACTTACATGATTGTGCAGAATTTATGCACGCAAACAGCACAAAAATTGAAATTACCTTCCGAGACTGTAAGCTATACAGATAGTTTTTGTGATTAATACCTTCAACTCAAGTGGAACGTTAAATAGTGAGAGCAAACAATGTCGTGCTCAGTACACATGACGATATACGCGAATGATATAAAATTGAGTGATTTATTATTATTTTGTAGTAGATTAATGATAAATAAACCTAACGATGTTTAAATATTAATAATTTCATTCGAGCCTAGTAAGATATATATATATGTATTTTATTCGTTCTCGAAGAAAAGTATCAACATATATATAAATACAAAAAAATTAATATTAAAAAGTATAATAGTGATTATTTATAAATTTTATAACACAGTATTATTGGCAAAAAAAAAAAAAAAAAGAGACAAAATAGTGACTATATATATTCTGTTTATATTTGGAACTTCGGCATGAGATTTATAAATAGTCATTAAAAATAAAGCTTAAAGTATTGTATTCGAATATATATATATATATATATATATATATGTGTGTGTGTGTGTGTGTGTGTAATAATCAACTTATGAATAATTTCCATAAAAATTACTCTAAAAGCAATTAAATTTATAAGATTTTGCGATTAATTCTATAAGATTGTCCAAAAAATTTCATGAATATTTTGTCTTACAACTCTTAAAGTCTTAACACTTGAAAATATTTATCAACGGTTAAGATTTAATTTAATGATAACATTGAAACATCAACGTTAATAGTTTCATAAAATTTTATATGATACCTCTATCGGTCATAATTTATTTCAAAATTCTCTGATCATCGAGTAACAGCATTGCTCTCGTATTATATTTTTTATACAATATATCTAGATTACAAAGAAAATTGAAATTCTAAATATCACGTTACATCTACCTCCTGTTTTATATAATACATTTATAGAATAATAGCTTCTATTATCCGCATTATTAATCTGCAACGAAAGTAAATCCGATGTTATATGTCAAAGCATTGCATGCTATTGGAAATTAACGTTATTAATCATAATCGCGGAGGCTGCACCCACCTAAATGATGGGATATGACGTAAGCTTAACCCTCATGAGCTTTATTGTGTACTCGAGGCAATACAAGCTTCTTCTAATATTTACGCCAATGCATTATTCATAGATTTTGAATGAAATTTCAACCTACTTTTACTCACATATTTAGCAATTCGAGCATCGTTCGTATTAACTTTCGTTGTTTCAATTTCGATTAACACTATCCATATAGGATTCAATTGAGTTTTCACATAACTATTTACGCATTAAACGTATGAAATGTGCATTTGAAATGAAAAAGAAAAAGAAAAAGAAATTATGCTATTTTGAAAAGTACATGGTAATTAAAAATAGCCATTTGATTTGTATAATTGAATGGCGATTTGTGAATTATTAAGGATAGAAGTACTTTAAACTGAAGTCAATCGATCTGTTTTTGATAAGGAAACTTTAATTTATGCAATCCATATGACTCACCAATTATTAAGGGAAACGCCTAATTTTATCGAAGCCTTAAAAAACATATGTTTAATTCTCTGGAATATCAGCATATTTACATTATTTAGTATTCTTTTAACAATACAAGGTAATCTGAAAATTTTCAGCAACAACATATGCAAATGTTCAAAGAGTCCTTAATAGGTGCTTTTATAGTTTCTAGTCTAGTTTTAATTTTCATACAATTCCATCATAAATAGCTGCTGCTTATAAACGGAGTAATTTATCTCGTACCAGTATTTATCCGTATATGCAGCAAAATCACGTAATTATTAAAAAACATTAGAACCAGGTAGACGAGTTTATTTTCATCTAACCAACAATAAATTTCAGCGATAAAACAGGATGCCGGATATTTTACATTTTTACATCCTTAACGCGGGGCCTTTGACGAAATAACGTGAAATTAAATAGCAAGAAGCTTGATGAAACTATCGTGAAACATCTCTTGCATCTCTTGCATCTCTTGCATCTGCTTGAGTTAAATGAAGAGCGACGGGGAGAATAAAGTACAAATGAGAATCGCGAAAGTGTGCGCGCACCGCGAGCTTGTTTTTAGAATGCGACAAGAAAAAAACGAGAGCAGGTTTCCTTGGCGCCAGATTTACTAGGCAAAGGATCTTATTTATGGAAACAAACGCGACTCCTCTTCAGCACTGCACATAGTGGTTAATTTCTTGTTTGAAAAAATACAACTGGCGTATGTCGGTCTTTCTTCAATGACTCGTTTATGTTTCGAGGAAGAAAAGGGTTCAACAAACTGTATTATATACGTTTGTTGTTAGTTTAATTCATCGGCATAAATTTTTATAGAAAATTCAGCTTCGTTTTAGTAAGGATAATAATTGTTGATTAACAGTTAAAGTAATTGGATTGGGCAATGAGTAAATTCCAATAGCACATATCAAGCAAATCTTATTGTTTATTCGGGCAGCTATTCAAGTTACAAGCATTAAATTGCATTAAATTAATTTTCATTTTCACTTTTAAACTTTAGTTTTTAGAACAATAGATTTTTTGATGGTTCGATACTTTCTTACAATATATTCGTTATTTGTATGTTACTTGCTTAGAATTTGTTATGCAATGTTTCTTTTTTTTTTTTTAAATTTTTGTTTTTGTTTTTGTTTATTTATAATAGCAAATAATAAATATTACGTAAGTGATTGTAATATTTTTTGAAACGTTGAATCGAAATATTTAATATAAAAATAATGTGTGCAACAAATGTGACAAAATTTTGAAAGATCAGAATGCCAATAATATTATATTTAACCATTAGCCTCGTAATTATTTGAAATCAAGTCTCTAATTAAGCTCAATTAAAATTATTAATAAACGTAAAAATATTTTGAAAATCTTTAGGAAAATAATATTATGTTTGTTTTCTTACGTGACTAATATTAACATTAATATACTAAAAAATTTAATTCTGAATATATATATATATATATATATATATATTGTACAAACTATAATTTGAAGATTTTATGTACCAGTCCAAACATCTTCAAAAATGTTTGTGTTTCATTTTGTTTGATTAATGAATTTTTAACTGTTGAATATATTTTTACTCCTTTCTCGAATAATACTGATATGACCTTATTGTTAAACATTTGAAAATGGAAAGAATAGTATTAATTAAGCCGCTTATCGGAGACAAATAAATTCCATTCTACGTTAAGCTAATCTCTCGTTGCCGATATTAGTATTATAATGACCGTAACTCGTGCGAATTCCAGTTAAATTTTTAAATTTTAGAAAATGTTAGAAGAATAAAAACTTCGTAACATACAGAGCGGAGCCTAAATACTCGCATATTTTCAATGCTTTATACTAATGCATCTCAAAATGAATTAAGAATGTAAATTAGATATGTCTCGTCGAACACAATTTTTTGCCCGCGAATATTAAATCTGCCGCGCTTACGTATGTCAATCGATAACGTAATGCTAAACACGAACGAGTCACGTGCAGTTCCGAGGATCCCATTAAGAATATTCAACGTTGGCTCGATTTGCTCTCCTCGCCTTGTTGTCGCATTCCTTTCATCTATACTTTGGTCTTAAAAAATTTTAAAAGATGAGTTGGTCGTCGGCTCTTCGTCGGTAATTAGACTTTGTTAAAGTGACCTAATTGTCGTTGCGTGTAAGCTCTTGCATCTCTACAACAGTTGCAATTCTATATGAACAAAGCTATTTACTTGCAATTTTATTATTATTATTATTATTATTATTATTATTATTATTATTATTATTATTATCATTGTCATTACTATTAACATTAAGATTTATCATTAAACTAAAAAAGAAGGATCAATGTTTATTATATAGTAATTACATATAAACGACTTGTTTGACCTCGTTAAGGTAATAAAACTTTTACAATTACTTGCATGCTATACGGTTGGAATTTTATAAATCTTTAACTTTCATCAATTAGTCTTTAAATTATTCAAGTGTCTTACAAAGCTGCCTAAATATTTTATTAATTATATACACATTTTAATTGTATATTATTTATTTCTCTCCAGAATACAATAACACACGACAACTATAAATTATCAATTAGTTAATCATAGATTCAGATTTTTATTTTAAGTATTTTATTTGCCTTAGTTTGATTCAAATCACACAAATCACAATGCCGTCAATTTTTACGTATTACCATATATATATATATACTTTATAATACATTAATATATAATAGCGTGTAATTATATTGGATCAACAGCTTGATCCCGATCAATAACGCTTTATTACGCATTTTCCAGTACCGCGGTATCATTCACGGATTTATCTCACGCAAATGACAATTTAATTCTGATAATTGGTTATTTCATATTAAATATTTGTATCGTTATTCGTGTAAAATGACATATAAAAAAAAAAAAAAAAAAAAAAAAAAAAAAAAAAAAAGAATGAAAGAAGAAAAGAACTAATTTTCCATCCTCTAAAAATTAAATCTAATAAAACTATAAGTTATTTAATAATGCTTTACGTCACGTATTTTACTTAAGCATTCCAAAGGAACGAAGACGAAGAAAATTAGTAAATGATAGCTGCGTACGATAAATCCAGCGGAAGATGGAATTGCCCTCATCTAAAGATCGCTAGTGGATTTAAAAAGATTTTTAAGTGTAAACACATCCTCGGATATCGATAGTAACGATGTCCTTCGTCATTTTTGCAGAAACGATGCTAGCCCAGCAGGTCGACTTTTTGGAGACGATCCTCGAGGAGACGTCGGACGACCTCCAGAGTGACTCGGACCGTAGTGGCACTACTTACTGGCTTGGCTCCGACTCGGAAAATGAAAGCGTCATTCATATCAAGGCCGCCCAGCGTATACCAGGTATATGTAATTATAATCGGAAGTCGTGATCGTTATTTTCTCAAAGGTGGTTTATCGAGCGATTTGTCGGTTTAGTGACCCATGAAGCAAAACACTGATTTCGATATGAATTCGAATGACGTGGAGGCTTTTATTGAAGCAAAAGTATTTATTTGGAAAAATTGGACATTTAATATTGGGCATTTAACTTTATGAAAACAAATGCGTACAAATGTACCGATTATTGGAAGTAAACGAATGAAATGACTAGTAACGTCAAGATTCTGCAATCAAGCAATATATATATATATATATATTAATATTGAACATCGATGTAATATTTACTAATTACAATCATTAAAAGTGTAAAGAGTGTCTACCTATAGAATTTTTTTATACATAGTTCTCTGCATACTCATCATTTTAAATGCATTTTTGGAAAAAGGAAAGTTAATAAAGAAAAAGAAAAAGAAAAAGAAAAAAGAAGGTAATAGTGAGGTTGTTTTATTTATTTATTTATTTTTTTTTTATTTAGTATGTACTATGCAAAGGAGAATTTCAATATTTAATAAAAAAATTTTGATAATGGGAAAATTATTTCAAACTTTATAAGTCTAAATTATAAATGTAACCGTGAATACGAATTATCTAATTTTTATTTTGCCTTGTAAGTGTATGTGTTAATGAAATGAAAATTTATGAACCTTCATTAAGTCTTTTGAATAAAGTGCATAAATTGTCCATATTACTGGTTGAGAGGCATTTATTTAAAATTTATAAATATGATATTCAATCAATGAAAAAGAATAAATATCTTCTATCATATGAATATCGCATAATAATGAAATAAATGAAAATATCTTACATTTATGAATTTCACCATTTAATTTTATATAACTATGGATATAATAATTATATAATGAATTGGTATCTATTTTCTAATTTTATAAATATTTCTATAATAAATTTTGTAATATCCGCGTAGTTATTTCATAAAATATTTCTTTAAGTTTATGCAATTCTTAAATAATAATTGGAAAATAGTTTCTTAGCAAATCACGGTATAACTTAATTTGAAGTCATTAGTCATCTATTTCTCTCTCTCTCTCTCCCTCTCTCTTACTATATATACATATATATATATATGAAAAAAATTAAAAGAATTATCAATATACGTATCTATAAATATTAATCAAAATAATCGAATAAATAATAGTTTCTTGTTTTTATTAAAAAATTTTTTTCTAACTGATGAAACATCATTTTTCTTATACATAGTTAATCTAAGCAAATTAAATAATGTTTGTAATAAAATTATGAATTAATCTGCTAAGATGAATTATTTATGATTATTTTTGTTTAAAAATCATATTTTCTCAACTTTAATCACGATTTGAAAATTGTAACGTTGTCAATTTTTTAATTATGTTCTAAAATTAATGAAAAAGTAATGATTTAAAAAATGACATTATTTTTAATCTACATACCAAGTCAAATTTAATTAATTTGAGCTTTCAAGAACTAAAAAGACTGTAATACTGCAATAAATGTTACAATGTAACCATTCTTTTCTCGATTGGATCTCTGCATATAACTCCATACTATCTGCAAACAAATATATGAAAATTATTTTTTGATAATTAACAATATTGAGCATGAGAATATAAAATTTTAATATATGTATTGTATGAAAATAGAAGTGAAACTTCCATTCCAAACAATCTAAATGTTATGCACTGATAATCAAACGTATATTTCTGGAATATATAAGAAATGGTTTGTTATAAATTTAATATTTATTAGTTTACAATTATATATTGACAAATTTTTATCCTTATAGTGTATAATATAGTTTTTTTTTTCTTTAAAGCCATAAGTTATATCGATTTGAATCAAACTTCCATTATTTGAGTTGCGATATTTACGTACGTTCACTTGAGTCTGTAACTCGTGATTATTTTTTTACCATGATTATACAATATGAGTTAGAAAATATGGTAGATAATTGAGTTAGTCACGTAAAATCGCAAATATCTTAAGTTTTCCCATCCAAACATCTACTTTTTTTTCCAAGGCGATTGTTCCTAAATAGAGGCATTATCACATGCACAGTCGCATTGACGGTTGCCATTCTTTAGGCGTCGCGACCAAATTAATTTACCCGTATTATAAATAATATGAAAGTATTGTATTTCGTTTAACTTTTCTAATAATTCTTATAAATATAAGCAAATATATATCAATATGCTTTAATTCTGTAATTTTAATCAACGTTTAAGCACAAATTTTTATAAATAATTCATTTTTTTTACATTTATTCAAAGGGACTATCGAAAACATATTAACCCTTTCCATAATAAATATTATATAGAATTTTATATTTATTATATCTTTTGTTTTGTTATATTATTTATATATATCTTTTGAGGACGTGCATTCGAGTTTGAATTTTAGTTAAGTTTCAATCTGCGAACAATATTAATTATAAAGCATTTTAATTTTAGCGGATATATTTAATTTTATTAATAAGCAATTTTTTGTGATAATATCATTTAAAAATAATTAGAAGATTTAGAAATATAATTTCTCATATTTAACGGTTAGTAAGCGTTTCAGCATTAAATCTGATTTGCGTACGCTAGCGCCATCTATCGACAAATATGCTTATCTCAACTGGTGTCCGTTAGTAATATTCTACATCGTTTAAAGTAAACACTCGATGGTTATTGGCAAAATTATTATTATTATTATTATTATTATTGTACAAAATAATTGTTTTTAGAGTTAGTGACTTTTAATGAAAACTGTTTTTTTAATTGGAATAATTGCTCCGTTTTAAGCACTTAAGCCTTGAAACTTGAGATACTTAATACTGTACGTTTAATTGCATTATTATTAATAGGGTCTCATTAATTTTTGCCTTACAAAGTTTATAAGTGCATTTGGTATTTTTTTTTTTTTTATTAATATTACGAGCAGTCCATAATTATATTCAGAATTCAATTGATATTTAACCATCAAGGGGTTTATAGAACGTCCAACTTATTGTATCGAGATTATGAAGAAAATAATATTTCCTAACCAATGTTAATATTAAGAATAATTGCATAAAAAATCATGTCGGATTATGATAATTATAATTCCTTTATTACTTTATTACTCGATTAACCTAAAACGCTAAAACGCATTATTTTACTAAATATCTAACAAAAAATAAAAACTAATACTGGATTCATTTTATCTTTTAAACCATCTTTCGATAAATCATAAGAGTGCTCGTCCCTCGCGAAATTTCGGCACATTAATAATAATGCTAATAATATTGTTATTTCGATTATCTAACTCGAGTGATGGGTCAACGTCCGCCCACGGGAAGGGAGAGTTTATGTGGCAACTGGGCCCACGTGCACGTCGCGGCGTGTGTCAAGGGGTGGCTAAGGAGGCGGGGGGGGGGGGCGCTAAATCACAATGGATTTTCCGATACGGTGAGTGAAAAGGAGAGTTGCGATGGCAAAGAATATGGACAATCGATGGAAAATAATAAGAAAGTAAAAACAGCGATTGTGGATTATGTTCCTCGAGACCCTTGGTGCTACGAAAATGAATTGTGGCGTTAAAAGGTTAGGGAAGACGTAACGGGAGAATGAGGGCTTCTCGAAGCAAGGATTGAATAATGATTGGCCAATTACAATTAACGATATTAAAGAGTCAATGTTGTTAATTAAAATAGCGAATTTATGGTCGACCGGGGATACGGGATTGTTCGTTCAAGTACTCAAAATCGCTTTGATAAAAGATACGAGAAGATGAATGCTGATATCATTTCCTTCGGTGGATGGTTATGTTAAACATTTTTAGATAAGCTCGAGAAAATATTCGATGGACATTACTCATTTTCCCGGCTAAGGATAATGACTGCTCATTTGACAATAAATAAATTGTACAAATTATGATAAGAATGCAACAACATGATGATTAGATCATGCGTATTCAGTTAATTGATAAGTATATTTGCGCTGGACGTTAAGTGTGCGACGGCTAATTTAACGTAGAATTCAGGTTACGAATTTATCAGTTGCAACGCAGACTTTAAGCAGACTAAAAAATATTATTGATGACTGAAATATGTGAGAAATACGTATCGAATTAAGATGGAATTTTTTGAATTTCAATCTACATGTCGACTGACTGCCTTATAGCAGCCGAAATAACATTCTCGAGTTATATTTTGCCTGTAAAAAGATATGAAAAGATGGAAAAAAACTATATAAAGTACATTATTGAATAATTGCGGTATTCTCGATCCGTCATTTTATCTTTAGATAATTAATTAGTTCTAGTTCCTGCGAAAGCAAAAGTGACATCAACGGTAATTAATCACATCATTATAGTTTTATTTTTCTTTAAACGAATCTTCGGCAAGTATCTTCTAACAACGTGTATTGAAATATTTTTTAAACGACACTGGAATCCCGATGAAACTGCATGCATATAATGTAGAAGTATTCGATAATAATAATGGAAACGCGCAGTAATGCGGAAAAAAATTAAGACTGAAAGGAAAAAAGCGGCTTCGTCAACGAGACGCGATTAAGCCTTCTTTCTTCATCTCGTGCTTACTACACAATAAATTTTTTTATCTGCCGCGAGGAATATTATTCGTTGTTTCCTCCGTTACTCATCGTATAAGCTTTCCTGCCCCGAAGTCGAGTTAGAATGATTTTCCACGGAATCACCGCTCAGTCGATTATTTCATCCTCTATTTTTACGAGAGAAAGAGAGAGAGAGAGAGAAAGAGAGAGAGAGAGAGAGATATCTATGAATAGAAGCTTTTGCGATTTACCGACTCTCTTTTGCCCCTGACTACGTACTTCGCTTTCTATTCGCTAAATCTCTCTAGAACAAAATTTATTTTTAAATAATAACCATTGGCAATGACGATACGTGCTACTTACCGTTGATATCAAACTGATTGTTAATAATAATTAAGGAAATATACGAGGAGAAAATTAATTTATTTT